TTTCTAAGATGAAGACTTGCTTCAATCCACACATGGAGCAAGCTAATTTGTTGGTGGGAGCCAGGTATGAGAAGTTCTACCTTTTGAAAGGTGAGATCAAATGGCTAAGTGAAATGGCTGGAGCCAAAAATAAATGGGTTGATTCACACAGATTAATAGAGAGGGACCAGAGGGATGCGTTTGGACACTTAATTGAACAGCTAATTAATTGGCCACTGTGGCCAATAATTCAGGCATTTTCTTCCTACTTGCCCAATCTGGATGTGTCTGAGTATTTGTATTCAAATTCCTTTGTATAAATTAGAGACTTTTAGATTCCTAGACTATCAGGCCCAGTCAGAACTTTTACTCTCATAGTCTCACAGGGGAAAACTGAGAGTCAAAAAGATGAGGTCTTTCAGCTGGTTAGTGCAGGAGACGCAACTGGGGCAGGTACTCATAATCCGGCTAAACCACACGGCAGCCATTGGCTAATTAATCTTTCATTTCCTCCCACAGGATAACCCAGAATTCCACTTGGATTAAGGTTAAACAGTCTACACTTCATCAGCTTTCCATTTTTTACCCTTTCTTTTTTCCTGGTCTTAACTTTCTCCTCCCATGAGTCCGCTTATTCCTTCTATTCCATTTTTAGAAAACTCTCCTCACACATGTTTCTTTTGTATAGTTTTCATGGCATTTCATCCATGTGGTTAATTTCCTCATCTGAATGATTGCTTGGAGGAGGTTCTGTGTTATTTTTGGCTTGGGCACCCATTTCCTGTCGGTGAGTGACAACAGAGGCTGCCCACAGAGCTGATAAGAGCGCTGGCGAAGGGCAAGACGAGCCACAAGGAGAAGTGGAGTCAGCCAGGCTCAAAGGACTCCAGATAACTTTAGGCAGGATTGTGATATCTGGGAGGTGAGCTAAGGATTTGTTCTTAGCAACCATTCATCATGAGGAGAGTACTTGACATTTGGGGGCTCAGAATGACTACCTGACTAATAATGACATTAGACTAAGAGGTAACACAACTGGATTAACTCTTCTCACTGTCTGTCCAACATCTGAAGGGAACCTGGACAGCAGTGGTCAAGATGTCTGAAGTTCCTGGCATGAACTAAGGTCAAAGTATGCAAAGATTGTTTCCAAGTGGTCTGTGCAAAAAGAACATCACTCACACTAGAGGCCTTTTCCACCGCCTTATGATAACTTGGCTTTGAGAGCATATCCTGACTATGTATTGTCAACCTTGGACAGGTCTGCTCTTCTTGGAATCTGCCGCATGTCAGCATGCACAGGATGGTGATGCCTGGTGGGAGAGAGGTGCTAAGGAGGGCTGATAATGCTTCTTCCAACTCTGAGAGTGTGTGGCTTGCACCTTCCCACTATTGGTCCCTTATTTGGACCCAGGCAAGCATTTTTATAAATGGAGATTTAGAAAATAGGTCAAAAGAGCTACTGCCTTCTAAAACCAAAAGAACAGAAGGAGTAAAATACAGAAATAAGGTAAGGAATCTGTGTGGCTCCTAAGCTCTCGGTGTGTTGTAAGGGGGCTAACAGAACAAGGCATCCACCTGCTGGGGCAGGTGGATGAAGAACGAATAATTTTTCTAGCAGGAAAGAGAAAATGGAGTGCACAACTGTTGCTACTGCAAAATGAGGTCTCTATGCCTTATCTCCATAAAGGTAATGGTTTACATTTATATGGGACCTTGCATCAGCTCTGATCACAGGGAGCGCTCAGAGTCCTCTCTGGATGCAGCTCCTAAATCTGGTCTTCAATAAGCTAAAGGATAGTATCTATATTTATGTCACATCTATTTTAGAGAAGACTAGCTCATGTGAAATAAGACACTGAGATGCTATAGCAATGAATCCAGGATGGAGAAGGAAAAGGTGAAAGGAGAGAAGTGGTGGGAAGGGCAGATGATTATTTCCTGTCATGACCCTCAGCATCATCTAGCCGAACAGACTCCTTGACCCAGATAAAGTCTCTGAAAGATCTGAATGACTCCAGGAACCTCAGTCTCTTCCTACCTGCCTCCCATCTTTCAATGGGAATTGTCACTCTCTGGAGTGTATTTCATTAAGGTGAACACTCTTCAGGGAATCTTGACAAACTCTGACACTGGGTTCTGAGTGTTCCCAAAGACATTTTTCCCCTGATGCTTTAGGGGTCGAGAAATAGAGGGGACATTTGGGATATAGGCAAGGAGAGGCCAAGGTTGGAAGGGAGAAGAATGATAGGGAATCTGGTCTGTTCCAGTATGATATTCAACATTATGTGTAGGGACAAAAAGCATAACTCATGTGGACATAGAAGCCACCAAGAATTATGATTCATTAAAATGTTGAGGAAAAAATAAACTCATATAACACAGAGATGGGCACAAAGCAGTGGCCACAATAACTCAGAGAACTGGATTTCAGCAAGGACAGAGGCGGAAGCTCTGTCCATGTACACAATTCCAGGCTGATATTTAGAAAAGGCCAGAAGGAACCCTTCTTTATTGGTTGGGATTGAATAAAGAGACAGTTTCTTTTTAAATTATTCTCTTCTGCAACCATCACATAATCACTGTGCAGGTGTCTTAGAGGAAGGTATGTAAGCAGAGGGTAGATGGGATTCTGAGAGGAAGGTCGGTGATGGAATATAGAAGCAATGGGCTAGGGACAAGGACTTGTGTTCTAGACTTGGCCTTAATTAGTTGAGTGACATGATATTGAGCTGCTATGCAGGTCCCTGGGCTCAGAATCAACAGTGACAGCTTTCTGAACCTGGGTAGGCCTCCTGATCTCTGAGCCTCAGTGTCTTGATTTGTAGAACCAGAATGAAAATGCCTTTCTTCTAAAACTGCAAGAGGGGTGTTATGAAGATGTATTTGAAATGGCTTTAAGAACTAAAACATACTATATGAAAGAGGTGTGGCCTAACCCCTTAAGTTACAGATTGCAGACTGCACCCATAAGGAACGAAATGTCACGCCTAAGGTCATGCAAGGAATTGCTAACAAAGTCAGGACCAGCCCCCAATGCTTAGGCTGAATCACCCAGCTTTCTTTCAGGACATGGTCATGATGCCTACTTTTTTCACCTCATGTGCTGGCTGGAAAACAAGTCAGATGGGCAGGGGGAGGAGAACTTCAAATAAAGTAATGACCACCATGTGAAAGCAGACACAAGGAAAAACTATGGCTAGAGTGAAAGTACCCTCAGAGACATACCCAGTGACTGCAAAATTTCAACCAGCACCCAGAAATATGGTCCAGCTACAAAAAATATCCCAGGGAGACTGCTGAGAAACCTAGTAAGGAACAATAGCAGGTGATAGCTTTTGAGAATCTTGCTCCTCAAGTCTATTAAGTTGGGAGTCTTGCTTGTATGTTCTCAGCAATAACACACCATCATTTTTCTAGCACAACATTAAGAGAATTTTAAAAAAAGAACACCCTCTGACCATAGCTAGTTTTGGTCCCGTGAATCAATTCCATCAGGCTCAAAGAGAAAGCAATAGTATTTCTCATGTGAAAGTTTGATCGAGCAACTCCTGCCCTAGTAGGCTTAACTTAGGCTTTCCACAAAAAGAACCCAAGCACCTTCAACAAAGCCTGATGGTGAGAAACGTGAAAAACCTAGATGAGCACATCCACTTTGGGCAGCCACGATGTGTGGGCCGTTTATCGCCTGAGCTAATGCAGGGGCTGTGACTACTAATGGGTCTCTTCATTAACCAAGGAGAACATCTAGCACAGCCACTCACAAGCTAGTGGCAATTTAGGGCGATCTTTAAATGGCTTCTAACTCATATATTTCTTCCTGAAATCTGTCGGCCTAGAAAATGTCTCCAATTCTTCATGAATAGTCTGCTCTCCCTTTCACTAATTATGGACTCCCTGGGAAGGAAAAGAACAAGCATGGGGTACACATTATAAACAGAGGTGACACGCTACACCCAAATCCTGAACAGGGATAATTAGTCCTTTAAAACCAACCTTTGGCCAGGGGTTTTTATTTGGGGGCAAGTAGGATATGAGAAATCCTTTTAGCTTTGGCAGTTCCTAAGGAAGGAGTGTCTACTGTTTTCCTAGTAAATTACTGCTCCATTTTACAGGAGTCTTATCTATATGATTTGTGAACAGGGACAAAGGGATGCTTATGCAAAAGTGTGACTCTTCCAGGGCAAAGAAAGTCTATATAGGTGGGTAGGTTAGCAAGGAAATTCTGCCAGCAACTGATAAGGAATGAGCTCTTTGTAGTAGCAACCAATAGTTTAGAGATTAGAGTGCAAATCCCATTCCCAGTGGATGTGCCAAGAGACGCGGCAATAAGGTCCCTTTGGGGCTAGAAGGCTTGCAGCACCTCTCAACCAGGCTCTCGCCCTTACTTCCAGTGAAATGACAGCCACGGCTTCACTCTGGGGGCTTGCCCAAGGCAGCTTATCAAATGCCCATAAACGAAGAGAAAACAATATTGCCTGGGCCTATGGCTCCCTTATCAGGTAGACTTCAGGATTCATTTGTCATCAGCTTCCAATGGCTCAGCTGTAGACTTCTCAACCTAGGATGCGTGATCTCTAGAGAAAGCCCGTCAGATAAACTACATATTCATTCACGTCCAGCATGGACACACTTGGGATCTTGTTGGTATTCTTACTGAGTTTTTAGAGTCTTTACCCAACTAGCGAACTGTACCATGTGATCCGACGAGAACGTAAGAAGAGCATGTTTAATCAAAAGCATAAAGGTAGTGTGTATGGCTGTAGTCCAGGTAGCTATTGGGGCTGCCTCCTGGCCCCCTGTTCTCAGGCAATGCCCCCAAGAGAGAGTAAAGACAGTAAATACCGAGTAACCAATGTATCAAACGTGCGGCAGACTCCAACGTGCAAGGATGTTCCCGTGGTCCCTCCCTCTTTGCAAACTAGCGAATGCAGCATGCCAAAGACGGCAGGCCTCTAAAGAGCACACCCTGGCAGCTAAGTGACAAGATGGTCCCGGTTTGAAGAAAAGCTTGGCCTTACCTGGAGATATGGAAGAGTCGTAAGAGCTTCTCTCTTTGCGGTTCATCTTGAAGGCTTGGATGTCTTTTTCCCTGTACGTCCCAAAGCCTTCGTAGCTCCTCCTTTTACTCCCACTCATGTCACTGTCCCACTTGTCATTCGAAGGGTTCATCTCACTGAACACGTCCAGGCTCTCCGGTCTTGTGCTGCCACCATCCCCAACACTGCCCGAGTACCTTTTTGTGCATGAGTCCACAGGCTCACCGCTCAAGTCGCCTTTGTCCTTAGCTTGCGTCCAATGCTGGGCATCAGACAGTGACAGCGTAGACAGGGTGTCCACCTCAAAGCTGTTCTTAGAGGCTTTGTGGCTGGCCTCGCCGTGCTGGTGCTTCTGTTTCTCTTTATGTTTGCTCTTCTCGCTCAACAAGGGCAGCTCTTTGTCTGTGCTGCTCAGCCGCTCACTCAGGATGTGGCTGGAGAAGCCTGTGGCTTTGCCTGCAAAGAGACCACTCAGGTTGTCGTGGGTCCCCAGGAGCCGGTCTTCCTTGTGCTTATGCTTGTGTTTGTGTTTCCTCTTGTGGAGTCGACCGCTGGACAGACTGGCGCTGCCGACCTTGGGAGGATTCAGGGATGGCTGCATGTCACCGAGGCCCATGCCGACGGGTCCCTGCAGGTGTACTCCATGCTTTGCTTTATGCTTCGCTGTACCGGACATCTTCATGTGGGAGCTCGTGTGGAACTGAGGTGGTGGCACTGTCGGCCTCATGAACGGGGAAGCTGCTCCGAGCGTGTGCGACAGGTACAATGGAGCTGGGTACTGACTGTAATAACCAAGATTCATCATAGGCATTGATGTGTAAGGCATTCCATAGGGTGCATAGTAACTTCCACTGGGAATAGGGTAGCTGAACCCTTGTAAAAAAGGCACCTTTGTCATGGTGTCATTGGTTTTTGCAGGCCTACCACGCTTCTTCTTTGACTTCAAGTCTGAAGTCCTACGAAGATAGAGCAACGGGTCATACTGGATATATGGCACCGGGTAATAGTGATCAAAATTAATCCGAAAAATGCTGGGATACGGATTCTCGTGGTAAAAGGTGTAACTCCGGTGGGAGATCCTGAACACCTGGAACTTGGTGATGAGCTCTTCCAGGTCGGCTAGAAACTGGAGATCATCACGGTTTTGCAGGCTTTTCCGTTTCCTCTTGTGCTTTGGCTTCTTGAGGCTTTCGTGGGCCAGGAAGTTGTCTACAATGAGATGCTTCTGCCGGTGGCCATGCCGGTTCTTTGTGCTGGTGTCAGACGGAATGGCCTCCGGGTTGTCCAGGGAGCAGAAATCGAAAGAGTACCTCCGTCGGGATTCTGAACTCTTCTCTGCTTGGTCAGACGTGCTATTGTTGTCTGTCCCAATGCCACTGTCGCTCGGGATCGTCTCCTCACTGTGCGACTCGCTCACAGGGGACAGTGTTATTTCCTTGAGTGACCCGATCTCGCAAAGGTGTGAAGGTGAGTTGGCCATCAGCCTGGGTGGAGACAGCTTCCAGGTTCCACTATGTATTCCCTTTTGGGTTTTGGTTGGAAGAGCACTGATGGGCTGGAGATTTGGCATAGTTTTCAACTCTGAAAAATTGGTTTCAGTGCTGGCGGGGCTCAGGCTGCCATTTGACCCACCTAACTGTGTTGAAAGTGGGTGCATAGTTGCTGGTGAAGACGCCACAAGTGACTGAAAGTTGGAAGGCACGGCTGGAACATCCGGCTGGCTAGAAACAGGCCTTGGGTGCTTGATGGCTGTTTTGGGTTCTTCGGATGGGGGTGGCAGCTCTGCTCTTGGCTTCCTGCCCCTCTTCTTGCCAATGTAGATGGTTCCCCTCTTGCTGACATTAATCTGCTTGCCCAGTTTGCTCTCAATTGCTGCTGCTGCAGGGCTGGTCTCCGGGGGAGCTTTAGCCTTCAGAGCAATGTTGCTGGAGCAGGACAAGATCTGGTTCAAGATATTTTTCCTCTTGAGTGTTTTCATCTTATTGATAGTTTTGATGGTCTTCTTATCCAATACTCCAAGCTTCCCAACTTTTTTGTGAAATTTCATCTCGCTCATGGGTTTGTCCTCTCCCGGTACCAGTTGGGCCAACTTAGCTAAACTGCGTCGTCTCTTTCTTTTCTTGGTGCCAGGAAACTCCCGGCTGATGGGACTGACCGGACTGGTGGAAGTCCCCTCATGAATCGTCTCAACCGTGAGCAAAGGCTGCTTCTTTGGTCGTCCCCGCTTCTTCTTGACCGGCGTGATCACAGTAAGACTGTCTGTGTTGGTGTAGAGAGGGCTGGATGGGGTGATGGGATACGCAGACGGCGGTTCCACCATCAGTTTGTCGGAGGTGGCCATGACTGCCTCCCGAAGCATACTGGTGGGTTTGGGTTTGCTGCAAGTCCATCTCCGTTTTGCAGCAAATTTTGGATGTTGGATTTCCGGCAGCTTTCTTGATGGAGAGTGATCTGTGCATGTGGGAGTCGTCATGACCATGGATGGCTTCCGTTGCTTCGACACACCTCCCGGGACAACTTTCTCGGCACTTCCACCCGTTTCAAGGCCAATGGAGGGGGACTCGCTCTCTATCATTTTACCCAACTTAGGGACACGGGGATCTTTCTTACTTCCTTCAGGGTTGGAAAGTATCCTGTTAACTACTTCACTGCTCATAGTGATTCCAGAAGCCAGAGCTTTCTCTGGCATGATCTTTTCCACCACTGCTTTGATGGACTGTCTCTTTTTCCTTTTATGACTGGTTGGATCTAGACAGGGTGCCTTGATAGGGATAGTAATCCGGACATGACTCGAGTCGTTTTCAGGATTACTGACGGAACTCACATTCTGCCTGGCTGGTGATGCCTCTTGGGCATGATCTGCGGAGTAGCCTTCCCTTTTCCCTTCTGTATTGTCAAATGCTTTCTGGGCATTCTTGACCCAGTCCAGGTCTGGGTTTGGTATGTTTTGACTTATCACATCTTTTTTACTGGACTTTTTCTTGCTGCTTATAGTAGGTGGTTCTGGGGGTTCCTTTGCTCCTCCCCCCTCTTGATCGACCAAGGGCTGAAGCCCATTGCACTCGGCAGAGCTGCTGGGTGGGGCTGGTGAGCTGTGGTTGCTTGGGGATGGAACCACACCTCCCAAAAGCAGATCTTTGCTGCTGTTGGACAACTGACTCCATGTGCTCCCTGCACTGCCTTTCTTACCCTGGGCCTTTGCAAAGGCAGCCACGGGCTCAAGAGCTGGGATCTTGCTGGTGCTTGCAGTCTCTCGGCCAGATTCTGGACTGATGAAGCAATTCTGAGTGGCAGGTCCACTGTCAGAGTTGGTGGACCAGTCCATGTGGTTCTGGCTGCTGCTTTTTTGCTGGTGCTTTGGTTTTAAGGTGTCACCGGTGAAGTCTTGTGGGAGGCCTGGGTCATAATGGAGAGCTGAGTGTTTCTGTGGCCGCTCGTAAGCCTAAAGGTGGGCGGAGTGGAGAGGGAGAGAGAGAGAAACAAAGATGAGCATGTTGGAGCTATTTACAATTTAACTTGAAAAAGCTTAATGATGTGAAAGTTGGAAACAGCCACCTTTAATTCCAGAATGCTTTACGGAGGGTTTTTCAATTGCAGTAGTAAAAATATGATGCACTGATTTTGAACATTAATAAGGGTGCTTTAATCATGTCTCCCCTGCCCTCCAAATGACAGGAAACTTAACCTAATTTTGTTAAATGCAATCTGAGAATATAACCTGTTTAGAGAGAGGAGAGGACCTGAAGGTCATTGAGCTCAATGCCTGTATTTTACAAATGAGGAACTTGAAACTTCAACACCAGAGTCCTGCCCAAGGTGGCAGTGTCCAGGGGAGAATCTGAGCTTCCCTATACCCTGTGGGGTTTTTTGCCCAGTGTTGAGAGAGCTGCCTCTTATATCTGCCCTGGCTTCTCCTCAGATGCATGGCTTTCCCTTGCTGCCTCTGGTTGCAGTCCATTTCTGTGTGTGCTTCATCCTGAATTTCAACATCTCTGCACTCAAACAAGTAGCTCATTAGGAAGCACTGGGAAAGGGCAAAGCAGCACACGCTGAGGAATTCAGGGGGAAGTTTGAAGACTGAGTGGGGGAAGCGGGCCGGCCAAAGGCTTGGAGAAAAAACGGAAGAGCCTTCAAACCTTTGCTGGCTCCAGGAGTGGGGCTGCGTTTGGGAGTGAGTCCTCTGAGGTGTCCTTAAGACCACATTAGGCAGTGACTGCTCTCTTGAGGAAACTCTTGGATACTCTCAAAAGGAACCTTGAGTCTCCTGAACAAATGTGCCAGGAAAAAATCATTATCATTCAAGATCACACCTCTGAACTTGTCAGCTGTGGTTTCCCCTACATTGATTTTAAATGAATGTCTTCAGACTCCGGCACCTTCCTTAGGGAAAGCAGGACCCGAGCTAGGGGCCAAGCATAACTAGTGTCTATAAAAGCATAAAGGGAACGGATAGCGAACACATCATTTGGAGGTATTAAGACTAGTTTTAATATAGAGATGCTTGAATTGTTCCAGGTAGAGTTCAAGCCACACTCCCAATACAAAGCAGCATTCCTCAAAGCTTATTATATGTCCTGTTTTACTCACAGAGTAGTAAACTTACAGCATGCATTACCCTAACATTTGCTAAGGAAGGGAAAATGTTAGTAAATTAAAGAAAGCTTTGGATAATATCGCCACTGAGAAGTATATGATGATTGGCATACTGAATTTAGGAGGCTTTAACCTGTAATATGTATCTGCCTGCCTGTCTGTCTTTCTTTCTGTCTATCTACCTACCTGTCATCATCTACCTATATCTATTTGCCACTGATGCTTTAGGATTTATGTTTTATTTGAAAACACTTCTACGGTCCCTGTTAAGAGTCAGGGACCTGTNAGGATTTATGTTTTATTTGAAAACACTTCTACGGTCCCTGTTAAGAGTCAAAGCACAGATGTCAGGAAGCATCACAGGTAAAATTTAATGGAGTAAAATTAACCAGAGTTTCCGTCATACGAGTTCCTGGAATCCCTAGGCTTAGTTTCTGCTTCCCTGATTTTATGAAACCCTGTTTATATTTCTAATACTGGACTATATTTCTTAACATGAGGGAGTCTCTTCAAGCTAAGCCTATAAGTACCCAGAAGAAAACTAAGAATTTATTGAACTTTTTGTGTACCATGTAGTTAATAGTAGCTATACCACCACATCATCAACATCTAAAGAACTAAGCCTGTCAGCCTGTCCTTTGACTCGATTTACTAAGTGCTACTGTTGTGGACATAGACTGCTATCCCATTTTTTTGGGAAATAAATATAGAAATCTTATTCACAGCATAAAATATTAAATGGCACCCACTTATCTGTTGCCTATCAGGGCTTTGTTACCTCCTCAATTACGCTTTGGCTTTTAGTTGTACACTGTGTATACTCACAGGATGGCAGGTCCACGAGAGGATTTAAAGGTAAAGTTTCCCACTCATAAGGGTGATGATATAGTTGATTACTGATCCTACAACATTTTTGATAGTGGTGGCACTTATTAAAAATTATAGTGAGACAAAAGGTGTAAGTTATTGTTTTAGACTTGAGTAAAACAGGACTTAGTGTCCCTTTCCCTTTCTTCTACCTCCTGTCACCAACCCCTCTCAGCTTTTTGAGATCAGGACACTGAAGTCACAGAGGAGCTTCACATTGATGCTAGAATCTGGTCACTGATTCCCACCACTGTTCCTCTATTGCCTCATCTTCTTATTCATCTTCCTATTTGCGGTATTTAGCGGAGTACTTACTTAACTCATATATATATCTACACACACATATATATATATATGTATATATTATTCATTTCAGAGAGAGGAAAGGAGAAGGAGAGAGAGAAACATCAATAATGAGTCATGATTGGCCGCCTCCTATACGCCCCCTGCTGGGGATCGAGCCTGAAACCGGGCATGTGCCCTGACTGGGAATCGAACCTTGATCTCCTGGATCCTAGGTCGGTGCTCAACTGCTGAGCCCCGCTGGTTGGGCTTAATTAACTCTTTATCTTTTAATCTCAGCTGAATCCTAGGCGGCCCCCTACCTTATAGAAAAGCTCCTATTGTAGGTTTTTATAATAAAACCATGGATCTCATCTTTCTTGTACTTATCACGGTTTTCATTCCACATTCAATTGGCAGACTAACTGAATTAAAGCCTGTCTCCCTTCCTATCCTGTATACACACCATCACAGAGGTACCAAGCACAGTGCCTGGCAAGTAGAAGGCATTCAATAAACATTTATTGAATAAATAAGGGAACATACATTTTACTATGGGTATTTCATTTTGTCAACAGTGAGATTAATGACCTGTGTACTATAACATATTGTCTGCAAACATAATGACCCCCCCAGCCTAACTTTTTATGCCATTCCTTCTGCATGAACCACTGTCTATCATAAGGGTTGTGACATCTATCGCAACTCATTTGTGTCCTTTTCTCTCTCCCTTTCATAGATTGTAAGTACTTTGATGTCAGAGGCTCTCTCATTTATCTTTTTATCCTCAGTGCCTACTACAAAGCAAGTCACCCAGAAAGTTCCAAATAACTGTTTGTTGAATGAATAAACAAAAGAATATCTGAGCTGCCTACTACCATGACAATATATAGCTGCACACAAAAGACAACAAACCACCCATCACTTGTTTGGCCATGGCTCATAACGAAACTGGACTGCTCAAATGTATTAGGTGTTGAACAAAGAATCTCGAATACTAAGGACTAAAGGAACTTGCAAGGTAACTCCCCTTCAGTGCAATTTTTACTGTTAGTCCCCCCACGTCTCGTTAATTGTTTCACTTTCCATTTAACTCTGCGTTTGGGGAAGGCCATGTGGCTGTCAGGAGGAGGGATTTAGTTCTCACAGTGGAAAGGTGGGGTCCGCTCACTTACACCCAGGGCAGGCCAGCTGAAAGTGATGCAGTTAAGCATGCCTGCTTCCCAGGGCTTCCATCTGGATGCTGCCTGATCCCATTGTTGCATCCTATCAGCTGCAATTTGCCCTGCTGGGCGAGCCAGGCAATCAAAGGGCAGGGTGGACAAATGCAAGGCCCAACAAAGGATCAGGAGTAATGGGGGGGAATGGTGCTTTAAACCCTGCACAGTGAAGGGGCAAAGAAGACCTAGAGGAAAGGGGGTGCTTTCTAAGGGTCTGGCAGAACAAGGCTTTCCTCTAGCAGTGGCTGATGGCTATATCCCGTTGCATTTCAAGAAATCCCACTTCTTCATCTGTCAGCCATGACATATTATACACACAATGGTGAGGCTGTCAGTTCCAATATGCCCTTCACTGAGAATTGAGCACTTACTCCATTGAGACTGAGACGGACGTGGCAAACCAGGCCCCGAGCGAGTGCAATGCTGGGGCGAGTGGGAGAAGCACTGGCTCTCCCTCCTACCCTCCTCCAGCGGTTTGGGGATGTGATTCCCTATGGGGGTCTTTGACTGGGGGCTTGAGTAACCACACGGTGCAGGTTTCCACTTCCCTTCAGATTATGAACTTTTCTGAATCTTTTAAGGCCTTTATACCACCCTCAGCCCTAAGCAGGGCCATCTCCTGAAATGGTTAACAAATAAAGGAAGAACTGGTGATATTCTACATTTTGGGCCAGTTATTTTTGTGGAAAACTCTTAATACCCACTAAGCTCAGCATGTGTCTTGGCTGTACCCCCACCCCCATGAATGGACTGTTTGTGGAACTCACAGTCACTTTGAAGGTGTGGCTCACTTTTATAAGAACAGTGCTTTCCATGCACATTGAGCCCAGGCCAAATGTTCAGCAGTGAAACACCATTTTGAAAACACTGGACAGATTTCTCTCAGAAAGGCTGTGTATCTGGAAGCAAATCTTTTGGTCACGTGAGGAATTCTTTTGGGGAGTAGATCTCTTTCCCCACAAACGATGTATAAATCAGACACAATTAAATTCTGTACAAGTCAGATTTCTTTTTAAAAAGCACTTTATTTTCATTTAATTTTTAAAATGAGCATTAGCTCACTGCATAAAAACTTAAAGACCCATAAAAGCGGGAAGAAAACCAGTCCCTCAGCCTTATCTCAGGCTTATCTAAAAAGCGAGGGTTGTCTAAACGAGAGAAGATAGCAACTTGGGTCTGAGAAAAATCATATAACTCATCAAAAATGAAGTATGACTTTGTGGGAGATAAACCACTCTTTTGGGTTAGCTGTCTTCATGCTGCTTTCTGCTGACTTCAATAATTTAAATTTATTCTATGTGAGATATTTTGCTTTGCATGAGCAGAAAAAGAAGTCTGGGTATGAAGAAGAGAGGGAGCTTTAGTTCTTAATTTGGCACTTGGTGCTTCTCAGGATGTGGTACTGGGATCGCTGTACCAGAATCACCTAAGGCTCTGGTTATTAATACAGATTCCCTGGCCCGGGGTCAATCCTCTAAAG